TAGAGTGAGGTTGAGCCTTCCAGATTTATCTTACGGAATAATTTGTTTTGATTAAATTTTATATTTTAAATATTTTAATGGTCTTATTATATCAGGCGAGGTTTCTATCAAATTCACTTACAATTGTTCTCATTTTATTCGTTTTCTTTTGTGTAACTATGTCTCGAAGATTACTTTTACATTGCGTTATTAATTTACTTTCAATCTTCATCTGTAATTTTTACTATAATTTACTATATTCCTATTCTTTTCTGATATTCTATGTTGTATTTCTGCAGTAGATTCTCGATTGTACGGGATCTCATTAACCGTGATACCAAAAATATCTTTGGATGAATCATTAACTTATTATAATTCACTTCATGCTTTTCAAGCTATTGGCCAAAAGGGTGAAAGAGAATGACCGCACTTTACTGAAGTGTATGGTTGATTAGAAGTAACTATATTAAGAAGCGTTGTTCTTTACGTTCTTTTGAAATTTTACCCATTTCACTTATTCCGTACCGGATTTAAGTAGTATTGGATTAACTGGGATATTATTATTTCCGGAAAATAGGAGACAAAGAAGTAAATACGAGTAAAAGTTCCAGAGTTCGTTTAAACATTTTGTCGTCCGAGATTGAGATGCAGTGTCGTGTTAACATCGAGATTCGATCTTTCTCGCTCCCCAATCGGGTCTCTTTCCACCTGGAGACAAAGAAGAGACGAATCGGGGAGGAAAGAGAAAGAATAGGGTCGGTTTGCGGCTAATATTTATATAAACCCGTATCTCAAGGTCATAGCGCGCTTCTCCGACCATTCTTCTAAAACCACGCTTCTCCAACCTTTCATCTCAAAACTGCCCTTATTCGCTCGCGTCAGTCTATCGATTCTAACCCGGCCTTATCACCGAGGGACTCGGAAAAAAAATAGAAAACCACTGAGCGACAGGGGGTTCGATATTTGAAGAACTAAGTGATTTCATTCATCCACCTCGTCAGCCACATCATCCCGGGCCAGCGCCGACCGAACCTCGCAGTGAACTTACAAACAGTCGATCTCAAGAAAAATGCATTTTCGTGGAATGATCGGCAAGGGTGAAAGAATTAACTTAACTATGTAAGCAACAATTTTTGGGGGAAATAAACGGGAAAATTTGTAAAGGTGTTTCGAGTCTAAATCGATCGGCACCCATAAGAAGGGTTTGCGGTTCATACCAGCAAACCCTTCATGGGTTCGGTTACCTGCCAAATTAGGTATCGGGAGGCGACAGCGAATGACGTACAGTACGTCGTTACATTAGTATTATGTTTTATAAAGTTATATACGGAAAGTAATAATGAGTTATAAACGTTATTTTATTACAGAAGCTCATTCTGAACCTAATTATTTCTGGAAAGAGCTATTAAGAATATGCAAACTTATAGATTTTCTGGTAGCTTGGTGTCGTTAAAATCTATCTCGTTGTAGATCTAGTAGAAAAAGATGCTGATTTTGGTATTGTGTAAGTCTAGAACAATTCAACGAATTTATTCAAAACACGAGGCTTCCGTAGTTATCATCGCAGACACTAAATATTTTAAATTTCTTTCAAATTGGTATGTGGGGTTGGAGATATTAATCATTAAATTCAGCACTTTAACGTTACACGTGTGGCTGTGCTTATGATAAAGCACATAAAATAAATTTGTTATAATCATTCTGTATTTCTTAATATCTGCGAGTAAGAATTAAATGTAGATTATTCAAACAATTTCTAATATAATATACTTAAAAAATCAATCGAAAGCGTCAGTCTATCGCTCTGAAAAACACAGGATTGAGTCCTGATATGTAAGGTAAATTAATGAAAACAATTACTAGTATCATTAATTCTTCATTATACAGAAAGACTATTTACGTTTTTCGAAATAATACATTTATAAAGTGTAAATGTGTCGATTATGCATATTTTATTAGTGTGTCTTACAAAGAAAGTATTATTGTATAAAATAAATATCACATCAGCATCATTTACAACATGATTCATATCTTTAAAACAAAATTAATGTCATTTAAGTTCAACTAAATGTTAATGAAGTAATTAAGTAAGAATTGTAAACATTTTCAAAATGAACTCTTTCACAATTCTATTTATCGCTAAAAGTATTGAATTGATAGATCGTGTATTATGAATTGTAAAATTAAATTTAAGGAAAATCATTCTCAAGGTCTCGTTGATTTTTAAACTGTAAATAAATTTTCTACAAATCACTTTTGAATTAGAATAATTTATCGAAGATTTAAAATTTTTCACTTTATTTTTGAATTCTATATATCAAATAGTTGCATGGGCCCAGCGTTGCTCGGCTTTTAAGTGGATATCCTGTAAAGAGCCTTAAGGATGCCCATCAGTGACCGAATGGATAAAAACCACTAGATATTGGTAGCTTCTGTAGTTGGTCCGGAAAACTCAACGTGGCTGCATGTTGATGTAGTGCGAACCTGCCAACCTGCTGTCACGTGGGCTTTTTCGGTTTTCTAATGTCTAATACTTAATTAAAGATCAGTTTCCTATAGAATATCTTTCCAGAAAGCACCCGGTTTGGTAGTTCGCATATATATTCAGTTACTTTATCTTATCAAAATTATCAAACCCATTAAAGGCTATTGATTCATTATTTTTAATTATTACACTTTCGTTTTGTGTAAGTGTTCTTCAGTTACTCTTGAAAAGGTTCTTTCTGATGCACACATGTATTTATAAAATACACGCGTGTATTTATAGTACACTTTATAAAATACAGTATATTTTAGAGCCATTAAGTATATGTAAACTCCTTCTAGATTTTCTGGTAGCAGTGTTATATCGAAAATTAATAACACTTAATTTTATGAAAATAATATTAAATTGCTAGAAGACTGTTTTGTTTAAAGTTAATTGTTAAAAAAATAGTATAATAATTAGGAAAAATGAAAAATACTGATTTATAGTTTTCTCTTGGGGCATAAACGTTCCATTTATTTATTTGCACACGATGAATTGTTGTCGTGTCACAATCGGTTTAGCTTCTTACACGCGCATCTTTTTTGCTTGACATTAGTTTTCTTTGATACTATATACTTACAACTGGAAAATCCTTCTTCCCCAACATAGATTCTTTCACCACAGCTTCACGTAGAGATACATATTTTACTGGGATATATTCAAGAATTTGCGTCCCAGAAATCTGGAAATCACTTCTACTGAACTACCCTTTGTTCCAATTTGATAAACATTTTTTGCACTAAGAATTTTCCGTTACAATTTTGCAGTCTAATGGCCCTCGGTTAACCTTTAGAACGTTCAATAAAATAAAGTTCCCAACTTCAACAGGTTTTAGTTTTTTGGTAGTAATTTCGATCAATTTTTGCTGCTCTTTTCTGGCCTCCATGTAATTGTTGACGTTCCTCCGCAATTTTTTCTTGTCTTTTCCAAGTGTCGCAAGCATAAACGTCACTAATGTCTTTAGAGATCCCTTCAATACTCTGAGCACAATTCTTTTGAACTCTCATCGCACACGACGAACATAATGTTATATGTGATTCATTGAGATCGCGTAAATAAACAGAACAAGTCTCTCGAAATTTTCCTCTTGATTTTCGTTTACTTCCTCGCGGATTTTCGTTCTAAGCTGCATATTTTCTTCTCCAACAAATATAATTCTTAAATCCATCTTCATTTCTAAATCATTCTAAATACAAACACGACACACACACAAGACGCGATGTAATTATTTAAATTCTACTAAATGTTAACTCAATAAAGCAACAGTTACCGTTACGCGCACGTTAGCAAACCTAGACGAAGCCACGATTTGAAGGGGTGCTTGAACAATAAGTCTAGAATCGATCAGGCAAATTGAACAAACTGCAGTTCACTTTCTTAATCGCCTAGAGCTCTGTGGGCTGATTGCAAAACGCCTAAGAAACAGGGTGAACAGCAAATAAAAGATGATTTTCCAATTCGCCTACGACATATAGGGGAGACCGGGGCAAGATCGGCATGTTAAGCTTTACTTAAATTTTGTGAAAAAAAAGCGCTTGACAAACTTGCCCCGCATGCCGAAGTTGCCCCGGTCTCCCCTATAACAGAGGGAAAGTATAGCGATTGGTCTAAAATAAACTCCCAAGATTTTTACATATCTCGGGATGTTGAAACGTCGAAAAATGTAAAAACAAAAAAAAAATCGAAGGTGTTTTCTGTTTGTTTGGATGTTCGTTTCTCTGTGTGTGTGGGAGAGGCACGATTTTGTTCACTCTGTTTAAAGCTTAATAATTCCTATGCTTTTTGTCGAAAATTTCTGAAATTTTGCAGGGATGTTTGTTTATTAGGGGATTGATGCTATTAAAGTTTGGTGGTTGAAAGTCGACGAGGTGGAAATATAAAAAGGTAATGTTTTATATCTCGACTGGGATCGGATTTAATGATTATTTCACTCGTTATTAGCATTTACAATTTTTTATGAAACTCATCCTAACTCTCAAAATTAAGAGTTTGTAATTTTATAATAATTAAAAATATAAGCATTTTAAAAATAAAATATCGTAAGAGGCACTACCAAATGTAGTCGGAAAAGTTAAAAAAAATCTAGTAACGATTTGCTTGTTATAATTATTTGTTGCTTGTTTTGCTTGTTATTTATTATTTTATTATTATTATTTTATTATTATTATTGTTATTTGCTTGTTATTTATTATTAACATACAAGCAGAAAAATGTTCTTCCCAAATAATCTCTGTTTTATATTTTACAGAACACCAGTATATTTTAGATAATGTCTGAATGTTCCTGTACGATAAGACTTTTAAAACAAACTTGCGCTTGATTTGAATAACGGAACAACAAGCTGTTAACGTACCAATAATTTTCTATATTTACAGTTAAAAAGTATAGACGATTTTCTATAACAGAACTTCTATAATAGGGAATATAGGACGCAGAATATAAGCATATACAATACAGAAAATCGTTAAAATTTTTTATATATTGTATGTTTATATTTTATACGGCATTTTCTACACTCTATTATATTCTATATGTTTAGATGTAGAATACACAAAATTATATGGAGCGAAAGCGGATAAATTACATAGATGTAGAACACGAAAGTTGTATAAGTATTGATTTGTACAGTATTGAGTAATTTCGAGTATTTAAAATTAAATAAGAAATGTGAAAAACAATACTTTATCGAACACGTAATTGTGAAGTTATTTATTTTCTTAATGATAAAATTTTTCTAAAGATTCATAAGTGAGAACATCATTATTTCACATCTTCGTAGTGAGTTTGGGTATAAATATAAAACACAATAGTTAAAAAAGCAGTCCCCGAAAGATCTCCTAAAGCTGTTAAAATTGGAATTGCAGAATTATCGGGATCGATTTTCCACCTCCACATTAAATGTACCATTACGTGTGCAATGTATAATAATATAATCATCTATAAAAATTAAAAGTCAAAATTTTAAGATATTCCTGTCCTAAAATTAATTATGTGAATTTAAAAACTTTTAAAGAATTACCTGTATAAGAGTAGCAACTAAATAAATAGGAAGGAAAACACAGTTAAGGCTTGTATTTCCGTGCTTAATTAAATGAATGCTGTAAGAAAATATTAAATGTCCGGGAATTATCATTAACAAGAGAATTCTAGCTGTACGTGAATTATCATCTGAAAAAAGAAAAATTATTAATGCTTTTTTAAAATGTATTTTAGCTTTGTTAGAATTTGTTAGTAAAAAAAATTTCTGTTTGATCATTACTTTTCTCCATAATTCCTTTGAATGTTAGCGCAAGAGATAGTTTAAAGCAACAGGTACACAGTCGACAAATTATTGAAATACTTTGTTGTCGTTACGATGTATTAATGAAGTTCAAATTGAGGTGTGTATGCGATAAAACTGTATTTTAACAGTTGCAGGAAGTGGCTACAACGATGCAGTAATATTTATGTGTTATGACTGGAATTAGTCTACAGAAATCAAAACAATGTGGTGCACTATGACTGTACAGTGTCCTCTGTACTGCCGTCGGACTGGACATTCCCAGGTTGTCAACTTTAATATGTTCCTATGCACAGAGATGTTATATATTTATAAAGAGTTCATTATAGGGATGTTTATAACATCACTGTAGGGATATTTCTCAGTAACTCTGGGTATTCCTACACTAGAGTTCATTTCGTGCAGTTCTCGTAGCCCGTTTTCTACGGGTTTTGGCAGAACAAACAGCAAGCACACCTACAACGTCCATGATGCAAAAACTCGAGGTAAGTCAATATATATTGGTTCATCTGGTAACGTTTTTCTGTCACGTATACACACAGGCCTATGAGGCAAACTATTTTCTTTCAACTGTTGCAGCGCACTCGCTAGCCAGAGAGGTAACGACAAAATCTTTTTCGAGAATTTGTCGACTTTGAGTAGCCTGAAGTTTAAAAGAATATAGAAAATCATGGAAAATGAAAAATCTTTTTAAAAGATTTAAACTTTTTTCCCATAACATTTAGAGCTAAAATATATCTGTTCTTATTTGACATAAACAGACAAATCCGTACTAAAATTATTTTAAAAAATATTACATGTTTGCTTAATAAATTTATTATCTATTTACATAATTAATTAGCTAAGTTCTAGCAATTTAATTATAAATAAATAAATTTAACTCACGTTTTCCGAAAAATGCTGCGTATGGAAGTATACATATTTTATTACTTTCTTTCGGCAACTTCCCTAATTCGGCTCTTTGGTGACAATAAGTAGAAATGCGACTAGCTTGTACGGCAACTAAATTTCCAGCAATACCTAATTATTATATAAATTACCTTAATTAAATCAAAAATTACGTATTACTCACTAAAATATAAAATAGATATTTAAATTACCGTTTATAACGGGTTGAAAGACGGCCATTCCTTCGTAATGTTTAACAGCATATTGCAAAATAAAACCTCCTCCACTAAAAAATCAATTTTAATTAAAAGTGATGAAATATTATAATATTCTTGTTGCATATTTATTTCTTATAGAATTATTATGGAAGTTTATCGTGTAATATATGTATAACATAGAAGTTTATAATGTAGTGTGGAATTTATAATTAGCAACTAATGTTAGGTTTGGTCTAATTGAAGTTAAATTATAAATGTTTCTTTTAATTTTGGATGGCCTAAAAGCCTGTTAACCGAGATATGTTTTAAGATTATATCACTTTCTTCTGACTTCCTTTTTTTTGTAGCAAGAGGCCTGGAAATTGCTTTGGGTCCCTTCAAAATCCGTACTGAATAGAAGCATGATAAGGCTGATCTTCGACACGTATTAGTAATATACTAAAAATCTTGCTTATTGTTATTTTTATAATTGCTACGGTACTGAAAACATGTATGCATTGTGAAAGAGAGTGGCGTAGAGTCATTGAAGATATGGAAGATATATATATATATATTCACTCTGAAAATATTCTAATTTGTACTGATTATTGATATGATAATATTATTACTGTAATATTACCTGTCCATAGTTGGCGGATTTGTTGTAAAAAACAAACTCTGGCAATATTATAATTTACTCGTACAATCTCAATTAAGTAACTAGCCACTTGGTTGAGTATTTTTAAAGCGTACCAGTAGCCGAGTGAAGAAAATCATTGAACAGATGTAGTCGCATGACCGAAAGACTGACCAGATGGAGTTTAAAATTTTATATCAAATTGAGTTAAGCAGAAATAACTTTTAATCCCTATATATAGCCTATATACGTGTGAGAATCCAAACTTTAACAAAAATCGGTCGTCGATTCCGTCATACCTATTCGATAAGTGTTGTCATCTACTACGTAAGAAAATCTTTATTTACACTTTTTCGACGGCGAAAACGACGCATTCCCGTGATCTGTTGACCTCTTGGCCGGGCGATATCGTTCTAATATTGTAATTAACGGCCGAAGGGGGTAGTCGACGCCCGTTTCACAACGGGTATAGTGCCCTGTGTCTCTGTATAGGAGCACCGAACATTATATCCTGCCGATAACGGATTATCGTCTTCTCCGGTTCGCCTCTGTCTCCCGAGTCTCCGTCCTCCGCCCAAGGAAAATTCCAACTCCTGGATCGAACTTTCCAACGAAAGATCGAACGATCATCTCATTTATAAAAGTCTCCCAACCCTCCAGGTATCTATAATGGGCCAGGTATACATATAACCAATGCACGATTTCATATGAACTCTCTCTCTCTGTGTGTCGATGTCACTCATATCCAATGTCTAATTGTCCTGCTACAATTAGCCTGAGGATCTAGTACGAAGATTAAACGGGTATTTGTTTTGTTAACCTAGTCTCTGAGTGTCTTGCTTCCAACGCTGTCTCACTCGCCTCCGTCCGAATCCGATCGTCCCATACGCGACCGCTGGCGTGATCTACTTTCTAATCCAAATCAACTCACAGTCGCGACTCCCGTGTCAGTCCTGACGAGGCACTAAAGAGGTGCCGACCCTCCGGTCACATACGTATACGTATAACAATAAAAGTAAGCACAGTCAAATGATTTTTAATATTTTTTAAATAATAAATTTTCAGAAAAAATTAAGTATAGAAAAACAGAACGTACGGTAAAATTTTATGTCATCAAAGCAACTCTATAGTAGAAAATTTTTGGAAAATTATAACTTTAACACGTATTAATAAATTGCTATTTCGGAAATACTTTGAATGCCGTCTGTATATATGGGTTTGCCCCTCATCAACGGGATGGCCAAGTGGCATTTTCTATGTTTTCTTTACGTGTTTAATTAATAGGAGCCAGTTTTTTATAGAAGATTCTTGGCCAATCGCCTTGTAATTTAATGTTTTTCTCTATCAATTCAATTCAATGTTTTTCTTCTCATCTATTACAAGAATACAGGGATTTCTGGAAATATGGTATTGTACAAAGTATTTTTTATAATAACTTATACTACCAGAATCAAGGACCTTCGCTGCATCAGGATCGATCTATATAAATTTTAGGGAATGAACTAATGACAATGATTAAGAGAAATTTCTTATTGTCGGGTTTTGAGTAGATCTACAAAATAAGATATTTGTTGTGAAAATACTCTTTTCTACTTTTAGTTTTTATAGTATGATATAAAGAACTCGTTGCTGGATTTTATGTTATGTACAGTACCTTATGAGGAATTTTTATGCTAAACGTATTTAAAATTTGTTGTCGAAGTTTGTGAGTATTGCTGATTTAGCAGTTTTTTCCCTAACCAAATATGACTTTATTTAGGTTATTGGATATGTAATGGAAAAATAAAATCAGTAATAATATAGATAGAATATTTCGTAAAATCATTAACATTCTACCTGGTAATTCCAGCAGCAATGAGGACTGGTGACCAACCAGTTAATATTAGGCGTCTAGTATAGATATTTTTTCTAGCAAAATAAATCCAAAGTGGCACCAGCAACAACAAAATTACAATTGCAACACCCGAGATAATGAAAAAATCTATAATATAATATTAACAACATTTTTATAGGACTTCAATTTAAGTATATAGAAAGTGAATTACTATTTTAAATGTGGATAAAACCCATTAAATTTAGAGAAAATTTTATCGTAACAATAGTTTATGTAATTCTCCAATTACCTGGAGTTTCGTAAATTTTTTCAGAAATAATTGCTAGAACACCCAAAGTAGTTATATCTCCAAGAGAAGCAGCCACTGGTGTTGCGATGTTATCTGGATTGATGTTATATAGATGTGATACAAAGACGACCGTTGTAGTAATTGTACCTGCATAAAATTTAATTGTGCGCCCATTGACATAAAAGTTACGTCCCCAAATAGACTTGTTTAATTACTGCAAAATTCTGCATATGGGTAGGTCTTAGGCAGATATATAAATGATTACAATTGTAGTTTGATTGCATGCCAGATAATGTAACCAGACCGCCTTAAAATTAATACTCAATATCCTATAAAAAGACTTTCAGAGGATCAATTTGTTTAAAATTTTCAGTTACCTATTGTTTGAAGATGTTAGAATACAAGGCATGTGTGTACGACGCATTTAAACACAATAAGCAGTGTTGACGAAATTAGAGAAAGACCAAATCATCGCGCAGTTTCGCCGAATTTCCTATTCTGACCTGACTGTGTGCAGACGTTGGGGACAGTGGATATACCAGAGCGCACATATACGATAGCCGGAATCTGGACGCCCCTAACAGACCACCAAAAAATGTGATATTGATCTGATCGTGAAATATTGAATAAGTACAGCTGCAACAGTGTCTTTACCTATTAACCAGTGTACTCAGACAGTTAAAAGCCTCGCTAACATGCGGAAACATCAACAGTTGCAAATTTGAATGCACGGCAACCGTTGTGTGCCCTGTAATTAACACCATTGCAATTATCAACATTGTCTGCTTAGAGTGCGAATGATTGGTGAGCATTTCAATCTGGCCTTTATTATTGAGCTACACACTATCTCCAGTGCTGGCCTGATGGCTCGGAGAGAAAGCTCTTATGACAGTCATTCTCTCTAACTCCAGTTTGTGGTTCAAGGGACTAAACGGCACAGCGGTACATTACGAAAATCGAGTTGCCATTGATAGTAAGGCTGCAAATAATCATTTTCTATCGAGATAATGCTCGGTCGCCCACAGTTAGTATTTTCCAGGAATGGAATGGAATTTCCTATTGTTGACGAATGGATGCGGGGACAACCTAAATTTAAATATGAGAACACCAAATTAATTTTTCACGCCTGCCTCAAATCGGTAAGTTCTTCGCTTCTCGCCTTATTTTAAAATGGTTTAAGTACAACAGCATCTCATATTTCGCAGATTAATTGCGAAAAAATACAATATTAAACAGCATGATAAAACTATCATTTTTCAGCAAAACCTGAAAAAATGTAGAGATGCAACAAGTATTCAAAAGACTACTTTAGATTCGACAGTTGCTGGTTCAGGCACGCATACAAAGTGAAGAAGAATTTTACTATGATTTATGTAATGCTATTTTCTCAAATAAACCATTAACGAAACTTAATAATAGCATTTGTAGATCTGTTTTGCAAAAATACTGCGGTAAACACATACCTGCTAAATCAAGAAAACGAAAAAACTATGTTCACCAAGTGTATAGAAACTGTATAGACAAAATAAAGAAATAAATTGGAAATAATTACATAAGGTTTGGCGTAGATAAAACTACAGATTCGTGCCGCCGGTACCATCGCTCATTTAATAATTGGTATATTAAATGAATATTCTACTACTAATGCTTTTTTAATTACTTTCAAGCAGTTATTGATAGCTCAGACAAATAACAATACAGTTACGAGATTTATTAATGGATTAATAAATAGCTTTTTACCAAATCCTGTGCCAAATGATAAAATATTATTTATGCTTTCTGATGCAGCTGCTTACATGTTGAAAGCATATTTCAGCCTGAATGTATTATACGACAATTTAATTCACTGCACATGTCTAGCACATGGAGTGAATCGTATTGCTGAAACTAGTAAAATGTAGTTTCCGTTGGTGAATGAGTTAATTAAGAACGGAAAAAAAAAATATTTTTTTTTAAATCTTGTTTCGAGAAAAATTACCAAATATAGCAATTCTTTCTGAGCCTATCGTGACGAGATGGGGTGCATGGATAGACGCAGTATGCTGTTATGCAGATCACTTGGCTTGTTTTAAATATATTCTGTCATAGTTTCCTAAAATCCGCCTGTGAAGAAATTAGAAAATGCCAAACAGAAATAAAAAATCCATCTATTGAACAAAACTTAGCATTTATAAAGACAAATTAATGTTTTGTAAGCAACACTATTAAAAAAAATCGAAACAAAAGACCTTGCCTTAGTAGATGCTTCCTGAGGACTGTGGCAACGTGTTGCGTTGCCACAGTTCGTTGACTGTCCGGTCTCTGCTTTGTCGTCCATCCAACATTTTGGGACCAGATGGGACGTCAGCTTTAGCCATAACAAATGTGAGGGATCCGGAATGTCATTTGCAACATCTGTGGGCAAATCTGTCATAGATTAGCTTAAGGTGCCTGTATGCCGCAATGTCCAACCGTATCGCTGCAAGCTTTCGGGCAAGAGGATATGATAAAGATATTAAAGATTTCTATTAATTTGGCCGTTAATCCACAAGAAATTGTCCCTTTGATGACAGTAACTGATTTATAATCTCTTATTACCATTGTCACTACATTTGCGCTAATAAAGTTTCATTCGATCTCAACGTCTCTTAATCTTAGTACGTAGCTTTCAGTCAATGGGTATACATATTAGGAAAATAGTTTAAAATTATTAAGAATATCGGAATATACCTAATCCTATTGTAGTAATGGCTCCTGTAGAGATGCTACTGCAACTGATCAATAGCGCATGTTGATAATTAAATTTTCCTGACTGGACGGTATCCATAATAACAGCAAATATAGCTGCAATGAAACCCATAGTTGATGCTTGGGCCTATCAATGAAATTAATTAAATTTACGTGAAAACTATATAGAATTAATGAAATTATTAATATAAATATAATTTAGTATATTTACTTCGTTTTTATACACATATTTTAAAAAATCTCAGTTAGAAAAATACGTGTAAGTTCCTGTTCAATATATGTAAAACACGAAAACATTTCATTATTTTCTAACTCTTATAGAAGAAGGAATTAAAAATATATCTTGATATTATAAGGAATGACAAAAAATATTTAATTATTTAATTATATTTTGCTCATATGTAGCGTAAAATACATTGTTTATATTCTTCACAGTGAGAAGAATAGTGTTTTGACGTTAGGAAAGTAATTTTGTTAATTTTATTTAATTAAATCATATAAATTGCGTTAAATGATAGTTCGACTTTATTAATGCAATAATACTCGGAGTTATTTAATTGCACCACCTCTTACTGTTCGATTTACTTGTTTAACACAGTATTTATAGAGTATAAATTACCGGTATAATATATTGTAACGTAAGTTTACATTGTGATAATTCTATTAAATAATTCAATCGTATCTAATCTATATTTTTGCATTTGCAAAGAAAAAAAAAACAGCGTAGAACTGTTAATAAATAATAAAATACAAAAACTGGAGCTAAAGTAAGTAGATAGAAGATAAAATTATGTATTAAACTAAATAAAAATCTCAAAAACAGAAAAATTTTCTTACCAATTTTAATGCCATATTTCCCCAACCCATAAGTAAAAATTTTTTCACAGTATTGAAATTTCCTAAATTAGCCTGTAGTAAAAGAAACACACGATGAACTTAAATTCAAAAACATTGAAGAATGAATTTAACTTACCTGAGTTGATAATCTAGAAGCTAAAGTCATTTCTAAGTTTCCTTTCAAACCTAATAGAGTCGGTACAACAATAAATAACTCGCTTACTTCCCGAAACACAGTCCAATGCTATAAGAATAAAATTCCCTAAACATAACTATAATGAAACTATTTAAATGTATAGTATCTAATTGAGGAACATAAAAAAAATATTAAATTATTTATAAACTAAATGATTTATATATATTCTACGGACACGTATAAAGTTATCGGGGTTTTTTTCCTGTATGTTAGTGTTCGTGTGTGGGGGAACACGATTTTGTTTACCCTGTTTAAAGCTTAATAACTCCTGTGCTTTTTGCCAAAAATTTCTGAAGTTGTGCAGGGAGATTTGTTTAATAGTGAGATTAATGTCATTAAATTTTGGTGATTAAAAGTCGAAGGAGTGGGGAGATAAAGGGGATCGTGTTTATCTCCAGTAAGGTCGGACTTAATGACGATTTTACTTGTTATTAGCATTTACAATTCTTTTATAAAATTTACACCTACACAGTTAAATTAAGGTTTTTGCCATATTATAATAGATAAAAATATAAAATTGTTAAATAAAATATGATAAGAGATAGAGCTACCAAAATTTCAAATATCTGGAAAGTTGAGAAACTAACTGGCTGCTGGTTTATTTAATTATGTAATTTCAATATTTTACACTACAAGTACAATGATTTGAACTAAGATTTCCAAAGCACTCAATTTATACATATAAAAAAAAATCTAACGTGATTTCAGGAACAACTTCCGATAACAACTTTTTCTTTCATAAATTTTAAATATTAAAAATTACTTTTTCTTTATTTTGGAGTCAAGAATCTAATCTAAGTAAAATTGAAATCAATCTGGAAGATAATTCAGTCTTATGGAAGTGTGTTCCATCTGGTTTTTAATAATTTTAAATTGTTTTCCTAATCGAATTAAATAAAAGAACATTTTTCAAATTCTGAAATGTTAATATATTCGAAATTTTAAATTCTTTTCTTCAGTTTTTCCATTTATAAATAAGCATAATTCTATGCTCTAGTATAATTGAACATTCCTTATGAAAATATCTGAATTAAAATTATTGGTGAGCTGAATTAATGTTTTATTATATTTTTTTTATTTAAAATCAAAGAAATGTTAACAAATTTACCTGTATTATATCCAAAAGAAACCCCGCTCCACACGTACCATAGCCGGCAATTATAAATGGTATAAAGACTTGGAAAGTCAAAGAAAATGTTGTTTCACTTCTCACGTGGCATTCGTTATCAACTTCATCTTCGGGTTTACAAGCAGCAATTTCAGAAATTAGATCATCTTTTACTTTTAGTTCTAAAACGTAATCTTCTTTGACTACTTCGCAGGATTTAATTACTTCATTTTCGTTTTTGAAACACGACTTTTTAAGTAAGACACATTCTTTGGATTTCTCACCATCGTCTGATATAGTGTATACAATAGAGCTTTTCTTGTGTTTCATGTCCAAGCAATTATTCTTAAAGACTAATTCTTTTCAACGGTCCTATAGAAAAATCTATTAAAATTCTATTATAAATTTAAATTCTATGCAAAATAAGAAGAAATAAAATTCTACGCGAAGGTATTATCCAAAGAAAAACATCTGAGATGTAAAAAAAATTTCGCCAATGAAAAAACTTATGACAATTTAGACGACAGTCAAACTGTTTTTTGGTTTTCCTTCGGTAAAGAGAAGTTTGGCGCTAGGAAGCGAAATGCGCAAAAGAATAATACAGTATCATTTAAATAAAATTCATTTGTTTCCATGCAATTTTACCATTAAAAACAAAATTAAGCCCTAAAACTGAAATAGCTCTATGGAAAATTTCCGTGAACTTTGCCTACAGACCCGGAAGTAACGAGAACAGTAGTTTTTCTCTACCAACGTCTGTAGTGCCTGGATGAAGAAAAATGTAATCTTTATAGAAAATCTTGAAATTTTGCACACTGCCTAAGAAAACAATTTTCTTTCGAACGATATATTTAGAAATACTTCAAGTGTTTAGGAGCAATGAAATCGACCCCCGAAAATCGGCACTTGTATATACTCGTATAGCCATCCAGTGAGTTTTTTTACTTGGCGGGGACTTTTTTTAATTTACTCATATAAAATACAAGCAAATTGGATTAATGCAGTATTTTTCAATCTTTTTCTAATAGTAACACCACAACTTGATAATTTTTTCTTGAGGCACACCTACTTCTTTATTAGGGTTATTGCGCTTTTCCTAGATTTAGTAATACACGTAAGAAATGTTATGGCGCTGCTCAGAATTATATTTCCAGTTAAAAACCACTGATTAATTAATGAAATAAGGCAACGCAATACGTGAGTGATGCCTCCCGGGAGGACTTTCTACGGGAAACTGGACGCTTATTTAATTATGAGACACGCGAAAACGTCGTGACCAATTCATTGCTGATAAACCAACTACCAGTATTCCGTGGTTTAATTCACGCAGTCACTGGTGGGCTGAAACATAAGTTAAAGAATGTAAATCCTTTCTTTAAACCTCTTCCTTTGTATTTATTAATCATGTAAATTAAAAACAAAGTATCTCAATGCGGATCCTCATGATAATTACAGACATCCAACTAAAACGCTAAAAGATGGTAATAGATAATATAAAAAACAAATACGGTAATTATTTTTTATAAAATACATTCTTGCAATATTTATGGCATTAGATTTTTTAAATCTAATGCCATATAAATTTCAAATTACTTTACAGAATTTTGACAATTATCTTGATTATTCTGTAGAGACGAAGTGTAGAGTTTTTAACTCTTAATCTACAAATATACGATTCACCAATAAAATCATAAAAAATAAAATAAAATAATTAATTAAATATAAAATTTGTCTTTTTTATTTTTCTGTTATTTAAAGAATTAAGTAACGCATCTATGTGACAAATATCAATAAAATATGCTTAATAAATATAAGGCTTGAATATTCTGAAATAATATGATTCTGTTTTTAAAAAAACTTTAAAGATATAAGTATTAAACTATTTCTCCCTCCTATTAATTGATAACTAATTTAAAAAATTAAAATTAAACTTTATAAGAATGCCTTGGATATTGTAATTTGTATTTATAAAATATAGGCCTAATTATATTAATTTTATATTTATATCTTAAGTAAAATATAGTTGCATATAAAGCTGTCTACTGTTTTTATTAAACTTCACATTATCATTATTTCTAATTGGAAATTATGTACTATTAATAAGTAAATATCATACAGTAAATGCGTTTCACTTAAGTGGCATACAAATTGTTAAATAATTTAAAATGTAAATTAACTTACGAGTTTAGTCGTGCGAATTGTTTGCAAATTTTAAATAATTTAATTCCAATTTTATAGTGTTTCTTATTGCATGTATCCATTTATAATGTAACGTCTCCTCCTTATGTGTAAATGTAAATACATTTACACATAAGAATACAAAACTAAAACGTAGCACCTCATGAGAAATCTTGCTATGTGTTGTCCATTATTATTTAGTGGAAGTGAGGTATGTTACATGTTATTATACAGTCAAAATCCAACTTTAGTCTTATCACTTATAATTTTGCTTTTAAAGCTCTTAAATTAAAGCACGACTAACATTTTTTTATTAAATAGAGCAATAGATAAAGATATAAAAGAAAACAATAGCCTGAATAAAAGGACCACCAAAAACAGGCTTATTATTATTTTAATTAATAGGAAAGTGTATGAAATTATACTATCAAGCAGTCGAAATACATTGAGAGAGCAATAAATTTATTTACAGAAAACAAATAAAATTATTTTAAGCACAATTTATTTCAGGAAGACGAATATAGGTTTTTAATTATACAGAAATTACATACAGTAACTATAATTTATGCCTTAAGTATTTATTTTTAATTAATTGTAGTCTTTATGAAGAATTAAGTGTAACGTAATTATGTAGGCGAATAATAATAATATTACCTATCAATGACTTTCTGATATTAATTACAAATTAACATGCTTATCACCTTTAAAATAGAGTTTGTCAGGGAAAAAAATTAGATGATAATTAGAAATAAGCAGAATTTTAAAAAAATCATTAAAGAGTAAAGAACTTTAATGATATATTCAAAATAATAGAGAATTCATAGGAAATATAAATATTTATTATATACAGATTTTTGAAGGATGACAAAAAATACTTTAAATTTATGGCCCACCACAATTAAAATTTTAAAATATATCCAATGTCTAATTGTCCTGCTACAATTAGCCTGAGGATCTAGTACGAAGATTAAACGGGTATTTGTTTTGTTAACCTAGTCTCTGAGTGTCTTGCTTCCAACGCTGTCTCACTCGCCTCCGTCCGAATCCGATCGTCCCATACGCGACCGCTGGCGTGATCTACTTTCTAATCCAAATCAACTCACAGTCGCGACTCCCGTGTCAGTCCTGACGAGGCACTAAAGAGGTGCCGACCCTCCGGTCACATACGTATACGTATAACAATAAAAGTAAGCACAGTCAAATGATTTTTAATATTTTTTAAATAATAAATTTTCAGAAAAAATTAAGTATAGAAAAACAGAACGTACGGTAAAATTTTATGTCATCAAAGCAACTCTATAGTAGAAAATTTTTGGAAAATTATAACTTTAACACGTATTAATAAATTGCTATTTCGGAAATACTTTGAATGCCGTCTGTATATATGGGTTTGCCCCTCATCAACGGGATGGCCAAGTGGCATTTTCTATGTTTTCTTTACGTGTTTAATTAATAGGAGCCAGTTTTTTATAGAAGATTCTTGGCCAATCGCCTTGTAATTTAATGTTTTTCTCTATCAATTCAATTCAATGTTTTTCTTCTCATCTATTACAAGAATACAGGGATTTCTGGAAATATGGTATTGTACAAAGTATTTTTTATAATAACTTATACTACCAGAATCAAGGACCTTCGCTGCATCAGGATCGATCTATATAAATTTTAGGGAATGAACTAATGACAATGATTAAGAGAAATTTCTTATTGTCGGGTTTTGAGTAGATCTANCATGCCGAAGTTGCCCCGGTCTCCCCTATATTTTAAATTGTAAACGAAATGAAAATATAGCTTAAAAATTTTATTGATAAAATATTCGAAACGATGTAATCCGCTTAAGAGCACCCTCCAAATCCTTTAAATGTTTGGGGTGTCACGTGTTACGAACTTATACAACAAATGATATTTTCAACACATTTGGAACATATTACTCAACACGTTTTCATAATGTCGCACGGCAGAGCTTACTTTTATTTTGAGGCTCTTCCCTCTCCTCAATATGTAAAAATTTTACATATTGAGACATAGTTTAATATATTTCGACGATCCTGCCCGGAGCCATTCAGAGCTTTTACGGGACTTTCTATAGAGACAGAGCTAGTCTTTTTTGGCCTGTACTAGCAGGCCAATACGTAGAATGTTTATTAATAAAAAGCACTCTTAAATATTTTGCTTTTTGTTAATAAAAACAACATTAATTTACAGGTGTAGGAACCAATACGACCCCTAAAATTTTTTTCAGGTCTACGGAAATATCCTTACTTCCCTCTACAGAAGGTTATGAGCCAATCCTTCACCTCATTGAATAATGAACTTCTAAAAATGCGAAAAGACTGAAAAAATATAACAAAAGTATTCTGTCTAAGAATTATCTTATCATAAAAATTGAAAAGTCTAAGCCCTGTCTGAAAAGAAGAGTTATATTATTATCATTTACTAGATTTAATTTAAAATACGAAAGTATGACTACTTACATTCGAACAATACGTAAAATGATGTAAAAATGTCTCTGAACAAAAAAAACCTTCAAACGTTTATTTAACTTAGGCAGAGACGGCGTCAATACTAACCTTACAATCAGCAAAATGTAAAAGAATGCAATTTCATTTTTATTCAACAAAGACTTACAAAATAAAATTTATTTCGCATCTAATTGCGATTGATAGCTTTTACAGAAAACAAAACTGATTATTGCTGAATCAGCGATGAATAAATGACTACTTCATTAACTATAAAAATGATTGTTTTTTAAACTTTTAGGACCGAAATAGTCAAATATTTTTTTTTTCAAAATTTGGAAATATCTAAAATTTTACATATTGTGGTAAAAACAAATATAAAAACTTTCACATTTAACAGGAAAAATTTAATTTATATTATACACGCAGCATGGATTCCGAATCAATGAAGTGTGATTTATCTTTAAAATGAAATGTGTCCTTTTCAAGATGGGTAATTAGTATTATTANTTTCGTGATTCATTTAATCGAGATGGCAGTCTCGAAATGAGCTCTTTTTAAGTTTTAAAAAGAATTTACTTTGATATCCTCTCACGAAAATATGAATTTTAATAAAGCTTATTAGATTTAATATATTATTTTTAAATTTTACTTACAACTAAATTTGGTTTCCGGGGAAATGTAAGGATGAAAAATAAAATACTTTTTTTTTTACTTTGTTCAAGATACGTATGTTTATTTATACATTTCTATGTATATTGTTACTGCATATTGTTTGTAGATTAATATATTGGTAGCATTATATGCGTATAAACCCTATGTAAAGAATACAATCAAACCTAATAGTGCCACCGTTTGTTTGTCTCTAATTGTTACTAAATGGACTATGTAGATAAACTAAATCATCTCGAACAATAACAATTATATGTATAATAATAAAAGCTATATTTGGATTTGAGATTTTGAAAAGTCCCATGGTGATAACAATATCGTACAACTAGCAATTCCCAGAGTTAATAATACTTGTTTGGAAGATACATTGGCAGGTGCAGTGGCGCGTTATCCATGAGGGCAAAAAAGGGCAATTTTCTGGGGCCACCACCAACAGGAGGCCTCAAATCACTCTTTTATAAGAAAATATTTCCCCCCAAAAATTCGCTCGAAGACAAATATCTGAAGTCAACACTATACTGTGCACGTGGCCCCTAATTCAAATTTGCCTGTGCCCCACGAAGCTTTAACGCGCCACTGTATAGATGTTCATTGGCACTTGACGAAGGTGACCCAGGTTAAAAAGCGCTATATCGAATGTTATATATAGTCTACATCAACATACATATGAATAAGCGTAGCCTATTACAGGGGTCGGCAATCTTTCAGCGGTGTTGTGCCGAACCTAAGTTGGTGTTATTCCGGATGGCGACACGATTCTATCAATTTTGTTATATATAAAATCAAAATTAGTCCGGTTATAACGGACTTCAAAAATTGATAATTAAAATTTAATTTTTTCTAATTTCTATTCAATCAGAGTGCCACTGAAAATCGTCCCGCGTGGCACAGGTTGCCGACCCCTGGCCTATTATATTATTGTATGCGTATACTGTATGTATTCGTATCTTATACAGTACGTTATGCATGTGTGAGAACCGCATCTACGGGAAACCTTTATTATAAAATCATTATAAATTATTATAACACGTTTGTTCGGAATACGATAATTTTCCATTTCGAGAAATTGTTGATTGACTCAGACATTACAGTAGTCCCCCTATAACACGGATTCCTATTAATACGATTCCTATAAGACGGCGAAAAAATTGCGATGGTATCCGTACAAACCTGGTAAAAAAACTCCTATAATTCGGTAAAACGTCATCGGGCAGCCGAACTACTTTCCGCCGTCCAGCGCCACGCTACGGAGAGTTTAGGCGAGAAAGTTAAGTTTACTATCGTCTGTACAGTATGTAAATTAGATACCGTAAGTCTAATACAGCACTGTAATTTTATACATTTCTTGTGAAAGAAACATTTCTTATTCAACGACCATAAAAATTATTTATATTAATGATGTTCAACGAAGTTTTTGCAGAAAAATAACTTATCAGAAATCATCCGCCGTTTGGTGCGCCGCTCCGCGACGAAAACAAGCTTGAGCAATGGCGACGTCGAACGGTGCACACTCGGTAAGTTATCCTACAATTTTTTGTTTATATCGTAGTTTATACGGATTATTCCCAAAAAAAAATTATACATATTTTGGAAATGTCGAGTCGAATTAATCTAGAATCGATTAATTTTACGGAAGAAAACCTTTCAAACAGCCGTAGTCCGTAAACTTCACACGTGTCGGGCTGTGATTGTCAAGGACTCGAACAAAATTGATTCATAAAGAATGGAACGTATCTACCGTGTTATAGGGGGGTCGACTGTAAAATGTTTCCACAGGCTTAGTTCCTTGTTTAAAGTGACACTTCATATGCGTCACTCGGAAGTAACGAGTGAAACTCGATCATTGGGCCCGAAATACTAAACCTCCGGGTCGAGTCATGGGAGAAATTCAGGAGAGACCCCCTTACAAACAGGAGGGAACGATGACGACAGAGGCTTTTCCCGTCGGCGAGCGTGAACTTTTATGTATGTGTGCGGGCTTTTCACCATCGCCGATTCCTAGATCAACTTTTGGATTAATACCTGAACTTAACTGAACTTGAACAAGCACCTGAACTCAACTAACTCCTGGATCCTTTTGGCCCTAAAGGACGAACCTACATCAAGGACCTTCGGCATTGTCACACATGTTATATTTTATTATATATAAATAAGCCTCTACAGAGAATTTTCCAGATGGGCAAAACTTGCAGACAATTATATAGGGTAAAACATATAACGCATATGCAGCCAAGAGTTATATTTTAATAAAAGTGAACAAAGTTAAATAAAATCTCGATGTAACAAAATGATACTTGTCCGTTTTGGGCATCTGTTCCATATCTCCGGGAGAGTTGCCTAATGCTTAAGTGTGAGATACCTATTTTATTTAACGCTTAATTTAATTTAATCAACATATTGCACTTTTTGTATTTTCCATACTCATTACATTCTGTAATATATATTATGCATGTTTTGTGCCTCCATTTTTTGCAAATCGCACATCGAATCCAATCTGCTTTATTTGTGTCGATGTTTAGACTTAATTATACGATTCATTTTGGATACCTAACGTTGAATTTTATCCAAGAGCTCGTTTTGCTAAATTACTATCTTTCAGTCTTCTTCGAAAAGTGCGATATGGAATGTTAAATTCTTTGCTTGTTAGACAGCATGTACTGTTTAAGCTGGAAGAACTAAGTTTTTTAACCTATTTCTTCTATTGGCACAAGTTTCCCTTTTGTATTCGGTAGGCATCTAAAATTATTGAATTTGATTTAGTTCATAATAAAATATTTCAGAAAAAATATACATCGCTTTCTTATATCCACTAGGCATCTCACCCAAGCCGTATGGGACAGATACCTGTTTCTATATTTTAAATAAAAATTATTAAAAGAGCCTCTAGCTTCGAGTACAACACAAAATCTAACCTACTTTCACACGAAACAAATACCATATAAATATATTCGAATTTCGGAACCTTTCGCATAAACGTGAATTTCGCAAAAAAGTTTATAGAGCGATGATAAATGAAAACTTACTTTTAACAAAAAATCAACAAAACAAGCATTAGAAAAATAATAAAAGGCAAGAACGTCTTGTTCTACTGAGAGTTATTTGAAGAAACAACCTCTAGAAATCTCTCCCGACTAGGCATTTCACCCAGTTTTACCATATATATAAAGGGGTTTATTTTTATAACGTCTTCATTATTTATCATTTCAAAATAACTTTTACACGCCTGTATAAGGAGGGAATCGCTAGGTATAACAATACATAATTATTTAACATTCGTAGTTTTTGTAATTGGCAGCGCCGCAGATTAAATTTTTAACACGTCAAACTGTTTATTTTTTATAGGCAACTTTTATTTTTGGGGAAGGACTACCAGAGTAAAATTAAGACGAGTGTTAATTTGTTACCCTTACACTTCTATTAAGATAATGTGATAATTTCATTTTATTATTTATTTATATTTACATTTAAGAATGTAAGTCTAGCGATTTCTGGTGTGTTTTGGGGTAACGTTGGTTATTTTCCAATGTTAGAACTGATTTCTGTTATGTCTCTTTTCAACTGTATCATTTAGTGATTATTATACTATGATAACCGTTAAATATTTTTATAACTTGTAATGAACTCTTTAAACTTAATAAGAAAATCATTACTGTGGTTTGATATGTTCTTGTATATTGACTTCGTTGTATTTGTCACTACAGAAAATCCTCGTTAATAACGGTCTTCTGTGTTTTCAATAAACGATAAGAAATTTTATTGTTTTCTTTAAATTCTTTGGAAATAAGTCTATTTTAATTAGAATTACATATTTACACGTGCATATAGATTTAAACTTTCAAATCATTCCGTGTTTAGATTGTTTTTTTTTTTAATATTCCAGCTAGAGACAGATTGTTATTATTCTTTTAGTATCATCTCTTCTGTTTTAAAGTTGTTAAAAAAGCATTTTTTAAACTGACCTAAAATTATTTGTATGGTCGAAAATTTGATTTAATCAAGGGTTTAATTATGTTTTACTGCGCAAGTTATTTGATTATAGTCAGCTACCAACGGGCGCTTTATGTAACGGTTATGTTTTGTAGGTCGTTTCAAAAACGGATGACCGTTAGTTACTGGTTTTCTTTTCTTTGATCTGGCAGCCATTTTTAATAAAGTCAAAGTTATTCTTTTTAGCTATCTCTGCTAATTAAGTGGTGAAAAATTCTTTAAAAAATTTTGAAAATTCAGAGAAGAAATTTGAAATTTATGAATGAAAAGAACCAGAATGTTCCTAAATTATATAATAGACTGTGGCTTTTGGATTTATGTTTCCTTACTAATATCACAATGAAATTAAACGAACTTAATAAGCAGCTTGAAATTGAAAACAGATTGGTTACAGACTGTTATCAAAATAT